GTAAAGTCCAGTTTGCTTCTTCCGGCTAATCTCTGAGCTGTACGAGTTAACGAAGAATGGACTCCAAAACCTGTGCTGTTAGTTCGTGTCCGTGACCCAGAATTCAATATCTTGAGTCAACATGCAATCCTATCGCCAGAGAAAAAAAAGAGGATAAATTGTAAGCTTGTTCATCAAATAAGGAAATCATGCATATTCAAATTAAATTAACCCTCCTTCCGGACTGGAACATCAGCATATCCATGAACGCCTTAATATGTTATAAATCCCATTCGCAAGGGAAAATAATTTGGAAAATAACTCAGATATATACATACTCCTACATCATAAGCAGCGCTCTGCCTTCCAAATTTTGTTTAATTTGGATCCATTTTACTGAAAACGTCGAGAAACACAGCATTTGATTTCGTTTCCATGTCGAGAAATAAGCGAGTCAGCGACGCATAATTGCATAATTATTTTTTCACTGCGAGGTAATGTGCAATTCTTTAAAGATGACATTGAATTATACATGAGATACCTTCAGGTATTCGAGTAACATGTAGACGATAGGGGACTGTAGGGCATACCCTTCCAGCAGTTCTTTAAGATCTACCTTGGGTGTTCAATGTTAAGATAATTTACCAGTTCCTCTCACAAAATAGAATTGTGTCGTTGAAATTTTTTTGGAATGTAACATTTCGAAAACTCATTGAACACCTTAGAAAAAGTTGTTCTCATAAGGAGAAAAACTCTGCCCACGTTCTTGTTCAGGATTAAAATATTCAGACGCCTTTATCACTCATGTCGACTAGCTTGTCTGGGTTTAAAGGGTATTGGCCGGTTTAATCCACTGGGATGGCTGCGCTCTCCTACTTAGGCAAGCTTTTGGATACATCTTAACACAAATGCACTACACCGAGTTTTTTTATAAACATTACACTGATCAAGGCTTATGACGTCATTATGCATAATGTTTGTTTATGAATGGATTGTATGTCATTCAACACTGGGCTGCAAGCCATCGTAAACTTCATTCATAACTACTAATGTGCCAAACGGACATAAAGTACACTTTGAAAAAGATGAGCTCGCTGAGACCAGCTGTCTTAAAGGACTAAAAAAGGGTCAGTTGTATCAATTGTCTTAAGCATTCTCTTTCATAACTGAGGAGACTTCAATCGATGCGTCAACCTCTTAGCTGTTGTTTTTCATCCCGCTCTCTCTTTCCATGACCTAAACTGCAGCAATAGCCCACACGGAAATAATGTGCTTGTAAAGCCATTTAAGACGTGGGTGTTGCTTTTTATTTAAAGAACAACTTTATTTTTACTTTCAGTCAAACGTCGCAACTGTAACTGGGGCAAAATTTAGCACAACGAGAGAAACTCTCGGGAGAATAGAGAAATAGACAAATTCCTTCACTTTGTTAAGCAAGTGCTCGATTATGGAAAGCGCATGATACGCTATTTTTTTCCTATGGATATTTTCTTATGTAAAAAATCAACTTGAGCTGCGACTTGGGTAGGAGTTTTGTGCAAGCTTCAAAACAAGAGTTACAAGAGTTAATGAGTTGCAACGTTACATCTGTTTTTAATTCTGGGGTTACTTTTCTAAAGGCTGGTGATAACTTGAATCTCTTTCTCGGGCGCGGGTGGTTACAGAATCCTTTCGTCTGTTAGTTCATGAACCATTCTATCGTTTCATTGTTCTAAAAAAAAAGGGAAAACACTCCTCTCAAGATTAAACCAAAAGGAAGACGAGTAACGGAGAAAGTCGCCTTTATAATCATGAAATGACGTGAAATAGGTCATTGAGGTCGATAAATAACCTACAAGGTAATGTAAGCCAATTTGGGTCGGTTTGCTCCATCTGCGTATCAGATCGTTACACGTCAACATTAACAGTTTAAATAACAATAATAATAACTAGGTTTCTGTGGTTGTTTATGCTCCATAATGTCGGAACATAAGAATAGAGAAGGTCCTTTTTGATAATGTGCTTGTGCTTGTTTGTAGCATATAGTTGCCAACACATGTCACGGAGAGTCATTCGTTTTTTCTACAGAAGTTCACACTTCATTGCTTGAGATTATTTGACTCCTAAGCATGGAGGGTTTAAGACATCCCTAAGAAGAAAAATTATCTACTTATGGACACCTAAATCACGTTAAATGAGCGTAGCTGGTGAATTTGCAGCTAATTACATACCCAAACAACCATCTTGTGAAACAAGCTTGTTTGTGTCTTCTCCAGCTTTAGCCCACTTAGCGTGTCAAAAATTTAAGGCAACTCGACAAGTGATAAACGATCTCACAGCAGAAATAGATTCTTCTCTTAAAAACTTGATTGAGATATGATAATCAGCAGTTAACTGCGTTAGTTAAATCTTCTCTCGATGTTCAGTCTGTTGGAGCTGGTGTGTGGAGTCATCAGGCACGTCGTACGCACTTCAGATTACTTTACATCAAACTCGGTACACCACACATTTTATAGGAACTACTAATATAGGTAAGGCAAAGATTTTTTTCGCTCATAAACAAGAAACCTCATTGCGTGCAGTTTCGCATAGGTAGTTTGGCGGATTTTGTTGTTTTAACTGATAAGGATCATAGATTAAAAGCAAGTGATGTTGAGAAGATGATAAAATCGCCCCGAAACAAATGGTATATTGACACTAAAACCAGAGTGCCAATGTCATTTAATCGACGTTACATAAGCACATTCTTACAGACGAAATGTCTGGAGGACATTCGCTGTCTAGAAATTTTTCATTTCTCTAGCCAAATCTCTTCCACACACTTTCACGTAAACTAACAAACGAGTTTTGTTTGTTGTTGTTTTTACACGACTTGTTTCTTTTGACTTGAAGTAAGTCTGGTATCCAAATATGCGCCGGTGCTCACAAGGCTGGACAATCTCAGGCCAAAGAGGCATTCGTTGTTACGCTCCTGATACAGAGTGCAATTATTGTTTAAGCACCCCTTGGGCAAAAACTTGGCCTTTTTACAGCTGACAGGAGAGTGTTATTCGACTGAAATTACGCTTTTTAAAGCAAAGTTTCTTGCTTTCGTCGCCATTTCTAGCTAGCACAGACTTTCGAAAGCACCTCTTGAAAACAACTCAAGGCTAGAGTTAAGACAAAGATTTCGTCTAGGTTTTGACAATATTAGAGGCTTCTCAAGCATGTATACGTGACTATTAAACAACGGGTTTTAAAAATGACGCATCCTAACGAGAGATAAGGTACAAAAAATAGGTCTGTTTTGGGATAAGGGAGAGAAACAGAGGCGCGGCGAGGCAAGGCAAACAGTTATCAGTAGATAACAGTTGACAAGTTAAGCAGACACTATGATATTTTGGGCAGCCGGGGAAAATGACCACCGAGTCGTAATGAGAATATACCAACTGGATAACCCTAAGATGGCTTTAGTAATGACTACTTTAGGTGTTCACTGCTATATGTGGTTTTGACATCCTCATAGAACATACAGGTGCCGAACGGAAAGTGAATGTTGGCACCTTTCGTGCTGGTTGACATTTCTGACACACATAAATTTTGGAAAATTGTTGTCAATTTTCGCCAATTAAATTATCGTTTATCTTCTGAGGACAGGCGTATCGTGTCAATTATTTTCATTAAAAAATCATCGTCCTTCGATTACCGTCAAGTGTGTGGGGTTTTAAGTGTAAATTGTAACCCTAACAATGGCTAGTTCTTCACGACACCGTGAATTTTAATGCGTAATTAAGGTGGCTCTGAGGTGTACTAGGCCATTTTGTATTATTATGAAACTTTGTGGACAACATCCGGCCATAACTTGTTTCACTCACGGTCGAAAATATTTTTAGGAAATGTAAATGAAATAAGGGGATAAATCTTCGTCCAGTTGCCCTATTTGTTTAAGAAACTTTATACTTGAAATATTCGCTTTGCCAGGCAAAGCCTAAAGCTAGGATATCAAATGAAAGGTTCATTCTGTACGATGAAGTAATCTGAGGATTTTTGGCTGGTTACCGCATGATTATGCTTTTACCCAGTACAAATTAAAAATCGCTCAGTTATTTAAAGACACTGTTTTCAACTGAAGCTCGCACCGCGTATAAGGCGCTAAGTACAGGGTCACTGGACACTTGACTTTTTTATGTTTTCGTTAGCACTGTCGGGATAATTTAAAAGCAAGAGAGAGTTTTTTCAAGAACTCTGAAATTGTTTATCTAACCATAAACCATTCGCAGAAATGATTCCTAAGTCTTACGAATAAGCTGCATCGTTGATAACCAAACAAGCTAGTACTTATTAATGAAATTTGGAATTTTTCTCGTTAGGAGGAACCTCATTAGTAAGAGCTTTTCCCTTTTTGTTAGTTAATCGTTACTGCAAAGGGTAGCGAAGTAATCCAATTACGTTATTATTTACGAGATCCGGACTTTTGGCATCGCAAAATTTAGGAGTGAACAATAACAACTTTCAAGGCATTGAATATTTACGAATCGTTTATTTGACTCGAAAAGGCGGCTGTAGCTTTTCCCTATGTCGACTGAAACTTTTCCTAATTCCTCACATGATTTACTTTAAGAAATGTCGTGACAAGCGTTTTCTTTGAGTCCTATTCGGTACACCTGCCAAACTCATATTGGCTTTAGGCGGTCCCATATCCATTTCTCCCCCTAAAATAAACACTGTATTATACACTTGGGTGATAAGTGTCGTATTTCACGCACTTGAATACTACGCTGTCCAGACGCTTCCAAAAGCGCACATCAAACATACTTATACTCTACCTGGGAGAGCGTCTGTTAGTATTGTGTTAAACGAAATAAAACAAACGCGCGCGCTAGAAAACCCCTGCTTCGATTTGAAAACTGACCGAAGAGTCGTCGCATGTGCTTATCAACTCCTTATCGGTTCGGTATGGGTTATTAATGTCACTCTTATTCGCTCGTTATCTGTCACAATCTCGCGTGATTGTCATGGCGCCGCGAATCTAATGATTTTTTCTTGGTTTTGTTTGCAAACAGCCAGTGACTTGGCTTGAGGATTCACGCAAGATGAACGCTTCTCTGGTCGCTTTTGCTGTGCTTCTATGCCTCAGTCGTTGTTTGGCATTTGACTGTCCGAAACAGTGCAGTTGTGGGGAGACGATCCGGTGCAAAGTGAAAGACTTGAGAATCTTAAAGAAGATTTTACCTACCAATATAACGCGACTGTAAGTATATTTAAACGCAAAGCGTTGGACTGAGCTTATCACAGAGATATACGCACCGGCATAGTCCGCACTAACGTGCATGGTTTGTCTTAAAAAATAAATTTAAAATTAAAGTTGAGAGAATGAATATGACGAAGTCGTAAAAGGAACTTTTTGAAGTAATGGTTAATTCGAGCTCTTCTGAAGAAGAAATATGATTTATCATAAACTAATTAATTCTCAGTGATGTCTTGCGAGGAAGAAGTGAATATTTGGAATGGGTTTTGCTAACTTTAAACTAGACACTGAAGTCTAATGCAAAGAAAAACAAGCTTAAATCTGTTTTTCAGCTTAAAAGTATGAAAGACTTTTTGTTTCTTACATCCTCGGCCAGGTCATCTTGTAAAACCGCAAAACGTGACCTTAAAAATAAAAAGTGAAAGAAACGTTGAAATATATGGAACGTTTTCTTTCACAGATCGGGCTTGGGTGGCCAAAGTTAAGTGTAGTACATTCATATGCAAAGGAGATTAGTGGCATCAAAATATTTGTTTTTCGGGGAAGTAACTCGAACTGTTTCCAGTAACTAAATTCAGTTTTTGTGATCCGGAAATGAAAGGAGGAAAACAGATGAAAAGTTAATTACTGAGCACGTACGCTTGCTATTTAATGGAAGATATGGTTTTCGTTTTAAAGTGTTCGAATCAATTTAATAACGTAATTACAGATATCAAACACGCAACTACAAGAAACATAGCAAAGAAAACTAAAAATGCTCTAAAATTATTTGTGAAAATTGGAAGCCAATATTTGAGTTTAATCTTTCAAGTTAGAGCGCTTAGATTGCCCCAAACTTGAGGGACTTTTATGATGGCGGAGTGCAATTTTAATTTTAAATGAACACGAAGGTTTTGGAGCTGTTCTTACTGAAAATTATGAATGAAAAAAAAGTGTAATTGTTGAAACAAAAGGCGATTAAACGACAGATACCCTTACTGTTCACTTATGGGTTTCCCCGAAAAGAGATCGCTTCGATTACAAAATTTATAGAATTTGCGAACACTGTTTATTCAAAGCATCAGGGACCCTTTAACTCTCGTGGATGACCAAGACAGAATTTCTCCTTACAATGTTAATACAATTTCAAGTAGACAAGTGATGAGAACAAATGAAGGTATCAACTAGGGAATTATTAGTTGATCCAATACCAAGTTCTCCGAAGTAATATCAAAAGAATTGTATGGCAGATACTAAGAAGAATTATTAATGAGATCTTGGGAGTGAGAGAATTAAATTCGGCACCACTTCATTTTGGACATCATTGTAGTCAAAAAGGAACTCGTACAGCGAAGCTTTCTCTGTATTTAAAAGGTACTAGACCTGTTAACCTTTTATTTCTTACAACTTTAAGTAAAGCTGATTTAATACTAAACATAGGTATATATATGTAGATATATAATTAAAATGAGGTTCAAAGGTTGGTCATTTATTTCAAAACGAACCGAGATAGTTTATTTACAACAGCCGCTATCCTCGAGGAAAATTTTCCATGCGAAACATGATAACTTTCGTTTTTCAATGTTGTTGACAGTTTCTACTACATAATTTCATCGTTTAAACGTAAGAATAATGTGGAGGCTTAGTTGATATGACTGTTAAAGTGATGTGAAAAGCGAAAATTCCGAAACTGACGAAAGAAACAAAACAAGAATGCACTTAACCTTAGCCAGTGTTGAATTCACCAAAAATCTCACAGTCATTGACTTGTCACCCAGTTGTGCCAGGTCAAGGTTAGGTTGATAATTAACCCTTTGTGAGGTGATTTTCTCTCTGGATATTTCCCAGAATTCTAAATATGTCCGTATTATAAGAAGTCCAATTTTGTGGTTTATCTTGATTTTCTTCCAGTGATCTCTCGTCAGATGACATCACAAAGATTCCTCCAGGAACATTTGAAAACTTTACTTCGCTGCGATACCTGTGAGTACTCGTGATGTATTCATGTTGCATGTTGCATGCAAGCTAACAGAGAACACGAACGATTAAAGGAACTTAAATAGAGAATCTCTCTTTGAATTAATACCCATATCGTTTGTTCTTTGCAGATCTCTCGCAAACAATTCTATCAGATATCTTTCGAGACATTCCTTCAGAGGACTTCGCAATCTTCGAGAATTGTATGTATTGGTTTTTTCTATTTCTATTTCCATCATAATGTGTGATGACAGCTTAGATTATTTGATATAAAATATTTTTGAGCCTCATTTACACTGGCATTAACCTTGGCTGGATCACTTTTCAACGAGAAGTTATTGTAGACAGATTTCCCTTCAACCCTTTACAAATTATCGACTATGAAAGTTTCAAAGTAGCATGCCAGTTTTCTCATTAAACGAATGGGCTTAGCAAGGTTAAAACGTTTTCCTAAATTTCCATCAGCACATACTGCGTAGGACATACAACCAAGGAACACTTGTCAAAGGAAAACATTTCAACATGTACAGGGCCTAAGGTCACCATGCGTTGTATTTTAAAAAAGTGATGTTCATGCTCTTTGGCGATATTTCGTGTCTAACTAATTGTTTCTTTTTTTTGCAAAAAGTTCTTTTCTTTCACGAATTTTCCGAAATTGTATAGTCCAGCCATAATATTGACAATAATAGGTAAAGAGCGTTCAGACTTCAATTGAGCGTCAAAAAACCGAAACCAAAGTAATCCCAGGGACCAATCAGAGCAAAGTTTTATATCATCATTAGCCAATAATAGGTCAAAGTGAAAACCAGCAAACTGCTTGAAGCGCGGGAAAACGCGAATGACCCAGTCGCGATTGTTCTAAGTTTTGCGTTGAGAAGGATGGTACGAGTTTTCTGGACCAATTAAATAATAAGAAAAAGCAAAGCCAAAGCAGTCCCGGCTGACTTTCGACACACATTGAAAATTTCTCCATAATGAAATTCAAAACAATGTTCTCGTTTTAATAGATATTACAACCGTTATTTATTTCAGAAACCTGAAGGACAACGGGCAGCTGATTATAGACAAAGACGTGTTCGAAAGTCTTCCATCTCTGCAAATCATCGGCGTGGATAGCAAAAATCTTCAAAATCTCTCCGAGGAATTTCGTAACAGGTCACACTCAGTCAACGTAACCATCGATATAAAACAGGAAAAAGTCCATTGCGAGATCTACAAAAAGCCTACAGACGAGTGTATGGCAAATGATTACCCCGTCTGCAATGACGCTATGGACATCAGAGAAGATGTCATGAAGCTCTCTCCATTTCCTAAACATTCGTGCGTACTTGCAAGATGCGAGAACAAACAGAAGAAGATCAAAGTCATTTGTGTAGCTTCTAAAACAAATAACACATGTTGGCCAGGGATGATTGGTGAAAACACTGGAGTAAAATTGGCGTTATGGACTTTCGGTCTTCTCGCAGTCGCCTCCAATCTCCTCGTTTTGGGGACCTTGTTATGCAACAGCGAAGTTCGCCGTGCACCTCTTTGTATTTTCGTCATGAATTTACTGCTGGGGAACATCCTTATTGGTGCGCACATTGTCATAGTAACGGTATCTGATACGGTTACATACGAGAACTCGTCCGAGTGCCATAAAGAACGATGGGAAGCCAAGCTTTGTGTGCCGCTGTTCATCGTCAAGTACATCGGGCTCATAGTTATTGTGCTTTCTCTTTTGCTGGTCACAGTGGAAAGATTTCTCGTTGTCATAATCAAATCTGCTCATTATATTGATACTTGCCGAGCTGTGGGCTATGTGTTCGAGAGTTGGATATTTGCAACCATAGCCACAGTTGTTCTGTGGACTAAAGCGGGAAACTGGGGCTATCTTTGCTCTACATTTGCCAGTGGAAAATCCTTCACAGACATAAACAGAGGAATAAATTTGACGCTTGTTAGTATTTGCGTGGTACTTATATTCCTTCATATTTTTATGATTTGCCGAGCACCACGTAGAGATCCTGTACTATCAGCGACAACGGATTATAAAAACACTGTTCGCATGTTCCTTCTTGTATTATCGACGTTTTTCGCCTGGGCAGTTCCGTACACGCTTATTCTCTTCACAGTTCCTGCAATATTAACTGAAACAGTAGCTATGCAAAGTATGGCTATTTCGCTTTCTTTAAACGCTTGCCTTCATACATTCCTGTATTCATTTGATAACGATCATTTGGAAAATCTGTACCGCGCTTTGTCCTGCCGAAAAGAACAGAAAGAAGATGAGTTGGAAGCAGATGATAGTAAAGACAGAAAACGTGATACAGAAATGGGCCCTTTACCTTCAAAGAAATCGCTAGAATCTTTATCCGTGGTAGAAGTTAAAAGCCCCATCAACAAAGAAGCTTGTGTAAAAGTATTACCTGTTACTGAAATTAGACAAGAACCGGAGCAGCAAAGAAGAGGCTTTGAATTCTCCAAGGCCGAAGGCGCAGTGATAATTACGAATAAATCTCCTACAAACTCTCGTCACGAAGAAGCTGTTGTTCTGTTACACTCAGCTCCGTCGTCTCCAAGCACTTTGACGAGGGTCGGCCGAGTGCAAGACGAAGGAGTGAGTGATTGCGGTACGATATCCTCCGACACCAATGTAACTTGGCTGAGCAGCGAATGCCCCAGTATGTCTCCAAGTTCACCAAATGCACTTCTGAAAATCAACGACGGAAACTCGACACTGTCGAGCGATATTTCATCAATTACTCCGTGCCCTCAACATCCAAAGAAAAAAGGCAATTCTATGGAAAAAGACGCTAAAAGACATCGTCTTTCTAAAGGATGCGCGGGTTCTTCATTGGACCAATGCGATGGCGACGACGTTAAAAGTGAATCAACAAGAGATGAAAATCAAAACACGAAGAGAGATCGACGAATGAGCCCAGTGCGTGATATTATTGTTCGTGTTCTATCGCCTAAGCTGAAAAAGAGGCCGAAGACTCTCGAATGCGTTCCGACGCACGACGATT